CAGGCCGTCGTACGTACGGCGCTGGCAGGGGCAGCCGCCGAACCAGCACGCGAACGGCGGCCTGCTGTGCTCGTCGAATGGCGGCGGCGGCACTGCATCGGCCGCAGGGGCGCCCTCGGCCTCCGCGGCCGCCGCAGGGCCAGCACCGCTGGCGCCAGCGACGTCGGCTGCGGCTGCCGCGCCTTCGGCAGCTGGCGCCGAAGCGCCCGCGCTCGCAGCGCCCGCCGCCGTCGCGCCCACCGCCGCCCTGCCCCGCCGAGCGGCGTCCTCCTCTGCCTTCTCCTTCCGAACAACGTCGGCGAAGAAGGTGCCGTCGAAGTCGGACAGCGCCGCGCCTGGATGATTGCGGCGGATGTGACGCATCAGAATGCCGTACGTGCGGCGCATGGCGTCGCACTCGGGGTAGAAACAGCAGTAGGGCGGCGCGCTGGACGCATCGAACGGGGGGGTCGGGGCAGTCTCCTTCCGAGCCCCCCCCGTTGAAGTCGCCCTGGCAGGTGGCATGCCGCCGCGCAAGCGCCCCTCGAGGATCAGCGTCGACTCCTTCTCGATGCTGTACTCCCTGAGCGTGCCGCCGTCCTCGAGCTCCTGGCGCCCGAAGACAAGGCGCTGCAGCTCAACTGGGACGCAGCGCTTGGCGTATATCTTGTCCTTCACGCTACCCACTGCGTCGCTGGCCGACACGTCCAGGGCCAGCGTGCCCCCCCGAGCGTGCGGACAAATATCTGGAACTCGTCACCGACGCCAGTATCCTGGCAAGGGGAAGGAAACAGGAGGGGCGAGGCAGGGGGGGAGGGGAATAAGGAGGAGAAGCAGAGGGAGAGGGAAGGTGCGGAAGAGGAAGGGGGTGCGACCTCGCCCATTGGCCCGAAGCACTCGGCCATGGCGATGCCCCGCGCCACCGACAGCGTCACCGCCAGGGACGGGCAAGGAGGCTGCCACTCCACCAATCCATCCGAGAGGTCGAGGGCTGCGATCAATGAGGCTTGGCCGTGCGCGACCTCCGCCGCCGCCAACGCGCCCGCCGCAAGCCTGATCGGATCCCACGCGAGGTCGACCGACACGGCGTAGGCGGCGCGCGCGATGGCCATCGCTGCAGAGAGGCACTGGCAACACACGGCGCAAGCAACGAAAGCGCTTGAGTACGTTCGGTTGCGGAGGACGGCGGGGAGCGAATAAGGGTGATCCATGAACAAGATGAGGATGGGCCCGATGGCATTGCAGCGGCGATGACAGCCGCCTCCCTGGCGACGAGATCTCGTTTCGGCCCATATAGGGCTGCCGAGGAGGGCGGGGAACGAAGAAGGGCGATGAAGGAACACGATTGCGATGGACCCCATGGCGTTGCAGCGGTGATGACAGTCGCCCCCTGGCTACGAAGTACAATCAGCCTGCGCCGCACTCTCTCGTCTTTCTCCGTCCTCTCGCTGGGGCGCAACACGCGCGACGCCAACGGAACTCTCGCGCTGCGGTCCATCCGCGCGCCCTACCGCCCCATCCCCCCCTTCAAAAAATTGACCTCATCGCTCCGCGCCCACCCCCCCACGCTTCGCCCCGCATCAGCGCCCAACGCCCCCAAGCGAACGTCCCTGGCAGATGGCGGGCAGGTTGGCGTCGGGGGGGGGCTGGGAGAAGGCCGACGGGCATAGCTGGGGGTGTGACATGAAACTAAAAGAGCGGAGTGGGTGGGGGCCAAAGGGAATGCTCTGCCTCGGCGAGGCTTGCGGGCAATGCTCAATCTGGGGAAGGCTGGGGGCGGGGGGGCGGCAAGCCCAAGTAGAGATCAGGTTGGGCTCAGGCCGAGCGTCATCCTCCACCCTTCCTGCTTATGCACGCCTCCTTCTCTTGCAATCGTTTTGCCCCCCCCGCGCTTTCCTCGCCCATCTCCCCTATCGCCTTCTCTCCCTTCTCCTCCTTATGTTATTCGTCCATCCCCTTCCCCCTCGCCCTCCGCTTTCTGTTCCTCCTCTTGGCCCCCCCGCGCAAGGGCGTCGGCAGCGCGGGGGCGGGGGTGCGCGGGCTGCCTCTGCGCTGGGGGCGATCGGGCCCACGGCGCAATGAAGGCGCTGAAGTCCTGGCGGCGCGTCGGGGGGGGCATGCAAAGGCGGGCTGGGAGCTAGGGCGGTTGAGTGAGAAGAGGAAACCGAAGAGGCTGTAACACCAGATGAGAGAAGGGAACACGGGCACAGTGCCAAGGGGTAGGTGGACGAAGGGCGAGCGGATCAGGCGCAAGTGGCGCGAGAGGGGCAGAGGGGGGCGAGTGGGGCACTGCGACATGGAAAGCCAACCGTGGCTGGCCCCCGCCGTGGCCGGCCCCCGCCGTGGCCGGCCCCCGCCGTGGCCGGCCCCCGCCGTGGCCGGCTCCCGCCGTGGCCTGCCACCGAGCACAGAGGACACAAGGGGGGTACAGAGGGCATAAAGGGCATACAAGGTGCAGAGGATACACGTGGCACAGAGTGTGCAAAAGAGCACAAGGGCACAGAGGGTAGGACACATAGAATACAGAGGTCACAATGAGGGCACAGAGAGGGCAGAGGGCTCGGAGGGCACAGAGAGCACAGGGAGCGCAAAGGGGGCAGCGGCGGCTCAAAGATAGCTCGGAGATAGCGCCCAGAGTGCGCCAGGCGCCACGCCAGGCGTGGGCCGCGGCCGCAGCGGGCGACGCGTCGCACGCGCGCGACGGCACCCTCACGCGTCGGCCGACGCGTCGCACGCGTGAAATAACGGGGACCGCACACTTCACCCTCACTCGCGCCCTCACGCGCCCGCGAGGGTGAATCGCGCGGCCCTCGGAGCGGGGGAGAGGGGGGGTGCGTGCGAGCCAGAAACGAGCCAGTTTCTGTATTGGATTGTGTATTGGGCGAGCCCTTTTCGGGCGCCCTCAGAAACAAGGCCTCTGAGGAGCTCCTGAGGAGCTTCTGAATCGCCTCTGAGCGGCGCGCGTGAGGGTGAAGCGTGCGGTCCCCGTTGTTTCACGCGCGCGACGGCACCCTCACGCGTCGGCCGACGCGCCGCACGCGTGAAATAACGGGGACCGCACACTTCACCCTCACTCGCGCCCTCACGCGCGCGTGAGGGTGAAGCGTGCGGTCCCCGTTGTTTCACGCGCGCGACGGCACCCTCACGCGTCGGCCGACATGCCGCACGCGTGAAAAAACGGAGACCGCACACTTCACCCTCACTCGCGCCCTCACGCGCGCGTGAGGGTGAAGCGTGCGGTCCCCGTTATTTCACGCGCGCGACGGCACCCTCACACGTCGGCCGACATGCCGCACGCGTGAAAAAACGGGGACCGCACACTTCACCCTCACTCGCGCCCTCACGCGCGCGTGAGGGTGAAGCGTGCGGTCCCCGTTATTTCACGCGCGCGACGGCACCCTCACGCGTCGGCCGACATGCCGCACGCGTGAAAAAACGGGGACCGCACACTTCACCCTCACTCGCGCCCTCACGCGCGCGTGAGGGTGAAGCGTGCGGTCCCCGTTATTTCACGCGCGCGACGGCAAACCCTCACACGTCGGCCGACGTGTGAGGGTGCCGTCGCGCGCGTGAAATAACGGGGACCGCACGCTTCACCCTCACCGATTTGGGTTCCAAAATCCTGCGGTGTAGGGCCTAAACCCTAAACCCTAAACCCTAAACCCTAAACCCTAAACCCTAAACCCTAAACCCTAAACCCTAAACCCTAAACCCTAAACCCTAAACCCTAAACCCTAAACCCTAAGCCCTAACCCCTAACCCTAACCCTAAACCCTAAACCTCGCTCGCCTCGCTCGCACCGGACCCCTGCGGAAAGGGGGGGAGGGGGGGGGGGGGGGTCGTCCCCCCCCCCCCCCCCTTCAAGGGGGGGGGGGGGGGGGGGGGGTTCCGAACCCCCCCCCCCTTTCAAAGGGGGAGGGGGGGGGGGTCGAACCCCCCCCCCCCCTTAAAGGGGGGGAGGGGGGGGGTGGGGGTTCTCGGACCCCCCCCCCCCCTTAAGGGGGGGAGGGAGGGGGGGGGTTCCCTGGAGCACACCCCCCCTTTTGTGTCTTCAAGGTGATCCACTGGCGCTCTTTCTATTTTTTGTGCGCGTCGGGAGTCCCGATGGCAGAACTGCGCCCTCAGGGCCACGCGCGTGGTCCGCACAGAGGCCTCAGGGCCACGCCTGTGGCCCTGAGGCTGTCGGGCCACGCGCGTGGCCCTGAGGAGCTGGCCAGGGCCACGCGCGTGGCCCTGAGAGCCTGGACGGGCCACGCGCGTGGCCCGCCGAGGTGCGTTTGGGTTGCGTCGGGCCACGTCGGTGGCCCGCTTGCGGCGGGCCACGCGCGTGGCCCGCCGCTATCATGTCGCGGTCGGGCCACGCGCATGGCCCATCCCCTCATCGGGCCACGCGCGCGGTCCGCGGGTCGGCAGGGCCACGCGCGTGGCCCGAATCAACATCGGGCCACGCGCGTGGCCCGCACCAACGTCGGGCCACGCGCGTGGCCCGACCTCGGGACGGGCCACGCGCGTGGCCCGATGTTGATTCGGGCCACGCGCGCGGCGCATCGCGGGCATGTCGGTGGCCCGATGGGGGAGGCGCGATGTCGCCTCAAGCGACGCGCCCGGGCGTCGCGCGGTGTCGGGTTACGCGCGTGGCCCGCGGCGGCGCGCGCGTCGGGCACTCCCCCCAGCGCGTGATTGCGTTGAGGCTTGCGCCCGCGCCGATGCGAACGTTTGTGCCCCTCCCGCGCTCCCGTTGGCAATGCAGTCGCGCTCCTGGGACCTTGGTCGTGCGTTTCCCGGCGCACCCGCGCTACGTTGTGGCTCTGCCGCCGCCCCAGCGCCATTGCGTTTACAGCGCCGCGCGGCTAGCGCATCGACAAACCAGCCATCTCATCGCATCTCCATTCACCTCCTCACCGCCCCGCCCCCTCCACCTCCCCGATCCACCCTCGCCTCCTCCACCTCCTCACTCATCACCCCTACCCACCCTCACCCCGCCCCGCGGTCCTGCGGCCAGGGGGGCCGCCCCCGCGCGACTAGGGGGCGAAGAAGCCCGCCTCGCTACACGCAGGGCACACGAACCCCTCGCGCGGGTGACCGTCGTCGGCTACCATGTCGACGCAGGCGTTGTGCCACGGAGATAAGCAACATGTGCACATGCACAGCTGGAGCTGCACGCGCCATTCTGGGTCCCCGCCCATGCCCCCGAGGATGTCGCCCTGGCACGACACGCACTCCAGCTCGTTCGAAGCGAACGGCCCCTGGAACATGCGCGTGTTGGCGCGGGTCTGCAGCGTGAGCGCCCACGGCGTCATGGGCGGGCGCCCGGCCGCCGATGTCTGGAGCATGATGGTCATGGTGTCCCGAATGATCACCTCGTAGTTGCCGTCGTTCAAGTCGATCTCTGGGACAGGGCCCACAGTACAGATACTATTGTAGCGGTCGAGCTGGATCTGCCTACACTTCCCTGGCCTTGTCGTCCACCGCACAAACATCACGAGGTCTCCGCGCTTGATCAGCGAGATCACTCCATGGCGCATCGGATGGGTGGCGGGGGACTGGGTGGCGATCTGCCCCCAAGCAAGGCGCAGTCGCCCCTCATTCACCCGCGCTCGCTCCTCTATCCCCTCGATGAGGGGATCCTCGGGCTCAAGTGGGCGGACTGCTGCTCCCGCCGCAGGTCGGGGGCGCTCGGGTTCATCTGGCTCGTCTGCGTGGCCGCTCTCGTCAAGGACTGCGTCTTCGGCCGCCTCCAGCTGGTCCTCGAAGCCTTCTTCTAGCTTTGCGGCCTCTGCCTCTCTCGCCTCGACTTCCTCCATGATGCGGCCGAGCTCGGACTCCAACTCCTGGGCCCATGGGTCCACCTGGTCATCGTCGGCCTCCGTGACCCCGTCTTCCTGCTTCCGCGGCGGGCGCGGCGTCAGCGCCACGGTGGCCCTGCTGTGGGGCGTAACGTTTGCCTGGGAGACGGCGTTCCACACGAGCGTCTCTCGCGTCAGCTCGAGGTCCTCACCTACACGCCGTCGTTTGCTCGACAGCCCGTCGCCTTGCGGCGGAGCCTGGAGCCCTCCACGTCGCAGTGGGAAGTCGCGCAGGGGCAATGTCTCCAGCGGCTGGTTCAGGGCAAAACACTTCGGCCCAAAGAAGGTATCAACGGAGCCCAGTGCAACCCACAAGTGGCATGAATACGACCAGCACAGCACGAAGTACACATCTTTCCTCCCGCTGACGTGATACATGTGGCGCACGTCGATATCGAGCTCGGCATACGCCGCCAGGGACAGGCCGCACGCCCGGGCAGCATGTGTTGGAGCTTGATGCTTGCAAGGCTTGAAGCGTGGAGGCTCTGGTAGAAGCTGGTCCGACGTGATCGGCAAAAACCTGAACGCTTGCTCTGGCAGCGCTTGCGAGGCTGTCACGGCCGTGTGCATGGAGGCGCACTCCTGGGCGGTGATGTCGGGGCTCTTCTTGATGACCATCCGCGCCGTCGCCATGGGGAGCTTCAGGCGGGGAGCGAGCTTCGCCATTTGTTGGAGGATGCTGTTCATCCCTTCCAGGTCCTGGTTATCCAGCGGCAGCTTGCTGCGCAGAAGCACCAGCGCATTGTAAAGGCGGCGCGGGCAGTCCCCATCCTCGCGCGCCTTCTGAAACTCTCGCCCGAACAAACGTTTATATTTTATTGCCAGATCCGAATAGGGCGCCTGAAGGCAGCAATCGTCAGTCGTCATGAGCTCCGTGGCGACCAGTTGCCTCACGGGGTCGAACTCGTGCGGAGGCTGCTCCACCATCCTCAAGAGCAGCAAGGGGAAGGACGTAACCTTGGTGCGCACGCGGTGCTCCCAGCTCGCCGCCTCTGCAAGGACCAACCTCACTATCAAAGCGCACGCGGAGGCCCGCACCTCGCGGTGTTGCAGCGACTCCCACAAGGGGCCCCACACGGTGTCCTCGTCCATGGCCGTACTCGTGAGCAAGGCGCAAATCTTCTGGTAGATGTCGTTCGACTTGCTTCCAACGAGCTCGCTGAGGGGAGTAGGTCCAACGTAGGTTGTTCCCAACTTATCGGCCGCCTTCAGCAGCTGATTGTTCTTGCCGACGGCCTTCTGAGCCCAATTGAGGAACTCTGAGAGAGGCCCCTTTGCGACCAGGCTGATAAGGACCTGGGCGTTCCACAAGCGGCTGTTAGTGCATGACACAGATGTGAGTCTGTATGTGCGCTGTTCGGCTTTGTACTGGGCGTCCTCGTCAGCCCCAACCCGCGGCCCACCCCCAGCCTCCGCGGGCTGCGCGGACTTCGCAGCTGCGACGTCTTTCTGCCAGACCTTGGCGAAGACTTGTCCTATGTACTTGCGGGCAGCCGCCAGGAGTTTCTCGACGTCGCTGATGCGACCCCATCTGCCGCGCAAGGGGCGCCCGGGCAGGCGGCCGAAGTACGCTTCACTGACGTGCCCATCAAATAGTCGGGCAGCAGCGCCCTTGATCTTCCGATGCGACCCAGGCGTCCTCCACACATTCGCCACAGTCGCCACCGAGCAGAAGTATCTACCAGGCGGCGCCGCCATACCGTCAGCACCCGTATCAGGCCACTCCCACTCCTCCACGATAGTAAGCATGGCCAGCACCGCTAGATGGATCTGGTGCATGAAACAAAATACCATCACGAACGACACCGAGTCGTTACCCAGAAGCCGTTGTCGGATACGCTTGCACATGCCAAGATTGTCGGGGCCCGCGTCGGCCCCGAAGCAATATGTGGCGACGCGACGGGCGTCGGCACCAGGCGCCCTGGCCGCGGCGATGGCCTCGTCGGCTCGAGCCTCCCACGACGGACAAGACACCGACTTCAGCTCCAGCAGCGAGAGCGCATACGTCTCCGCCCCATTGCCATGCACCACATTCTGAAGGTCGCACACAGCCCGCACGTGCACAAGCTGTTCCGCGAGCGCCATCAGATCGCCCTGATCGTCTCCGTCGAAAAGGGCGAGCGAGGGCACCCCGATCGACGCGACCGTGGCACAATGGATCTTGGTGTGGTCTATGGCTTCCTGGTGGGTCGCATCCGACTTGAAACAATGTACCTCCATCTCGCAGGCGCCCAGCGCATCGTATTCAGAAGCTGCCCTCATTTGCAGGGCATGTGCAGTATGATGCTCGTACCTGTACACGATGTGTTTGTCGTGCAGGTCGCCCTTCTCTTCGCCCCCAGCAATCATTCCGAGCGTTGCTTGGCCACCAGCGTGCCCGACGTTTCTGCTGAGGGGCAGGGCATACCCGCCGTAGACGGACACGTTCCTCAAGTTCGGGCGGAGGTTGAGTTTGTGCACCAACGCCTCGCGCTCCTCCTCGGTAGCCCGAAGCATTGCCACTAGCGCTTGGTTCCTATTCCTGTGGTAGCTCTTAAGCTTCTGCGCATCGTGCAGCCGCGCTTTAAGGTCCTCTATAGTGGCGTCTCGGACGCCCAGCACCGCGACGAGTTCGCCGTGACTGAACTCGGCGTAGGGCACGCCGCCAGCATGCGGCACGCAGGCAGCGGGAGGCTCGTCGTGGTCCGCCACAGGCATGGCATGACTGGAGCCGTGGCCCTGGAGCGGGGCAGCGCTCCCCGATGCCGAAGAGCCCCGCTTCGCCCGGGCTCGTGCTTTTTGTTGGTTGAGCTTGTGCGCTCCGATCTCGGTGGCGATATACGCCACGTCGGTAGGTGAGATGTCCATGTCGCAAAAAAACCTGAACACGCTGGGCGACGCGCTCACGGCGAAGTCGCTGTGGCCCAGCGTGCCCGCCCCAATCCCGTCCGAGTCGGCCACGTCCTCCAAGTAGCTCTTGATCTTGAACCGCCAGCTTCTGGCGGCTCCGCTGGAGACCTCATCGCCCCCACACCCGAGGCCGAACATCACGAGGTGCGCGGCGTCGATGTACCGCAGCCTCCCCTTGGCGAACTGAGGCGCCATCTGTCGCTCGGCGGCAACGGCCACCGCATCTCCCAGGAACGCTGCCTTGGAGACATGCATCTCCTGGGAGCGTCGTTTCCCGCTCTGCGCGCAATGACTGCGCAGCTTAAGTACCCTCCGTTCCTCCTCTCCTCCACCGCTACACCGCTACTCCCATATCCCGCCCCTCCTCATCCTCCCCCCTCCCCCCTCCCCCTCCTCCCCCGCCCCTCCTCCTCCTCCCCCTCCCATATCCCGCCCCCCCTCCCCCCTCCCCCATCCCACGCTTGCCGTGCCGCCCCTCGTCGGCTCCGCGCCCCTTCATATCCTCACCAACCCCCTCGCATCCCCCTCTCCCCTCTCGCCCCCCTTGACCCCCCTCACCCTTCACCACGCTCTCTCCCACTTCATCCCCCTGCTTCCCTGCCTGGCACCCCATCCCCCTACCCTCCCCCCCTTCCCCCTTCCCCTCTTGCACCTCCCTCTCCCGATCAGCCGCCCTCACTCGCGCCCGCAGGCTGGCCAAGCGGGACAAAACCGAGCTCCTGCAAGTGGAGCTCAGCGCCGAGCTGCTCGGCGCGCCGCTGCCGCCGCCTGCCCGGGGGGCAGGGGCGCAGGAGGGCTGGGCGTCGGTAGCGTTGCGGAGGGGAGGAGCTGGGGGGGGGAGGCGACGGGGGCCACCCAGGAAGGACCAGAGGGAAGCGGAGGGATCCAAGGCGGGATGAGATGCGAAATAGAGGATGAGGAGACGGAGCGCCACGAAGAAGAGGAGGAGGAGGGCGACGACGACGGCGACGGCGACCACGACGACGACGGCGACAACCACCACGACGACGACGACACCGACGGCGACGACGATGGCGGCGGCGGCGACGGCGGCGAGGACGACGACGACGACGACGGCAAGAATGACGACGACGGCGTCGACGACGACGACGACGACGACGACGACGACGACGGCGCGGACGACAACGAGCCCCCAACGGCCCGCGCGGCGGGCGCCTCGCTGGGGCTGCAAGCAGGTAGGCCGCCCAGGCTGCCCGGCCAGCGCGCAGATCGCCGCGACCGCCTCCCCTCTCCCTCTGCGAGTATCGGAAGGCGGCCGGGTGTGCGCAGAGGGGGGAGGAGGACGCTGGAGGAGGAGGACGCTGGAGGAGGGGCTGCGCTTCTTTCCCACCCATGAGCTCTAGCCATCTCAGTGCCCATCCCTCCACAGCATCGTCGTCGTCATCGCCGTCATCGTCGTCGTCGTCGTCGTCGCCGTCGCCCTCGTCATCGTCATCGTCGTCGTCTGTCCCCCGTTCGCTCCTATCTCTCCGCCTCGCACAGAAGGCGCGTTTGCCACCCTTCACCCCCATTCCACCTGTCCGTGCCAGTGCCGCCCTCTCATTCCCACCTCTCCTGCCCTCGGGGACCACAATCTACTTGCGCCCATGGGGGTCGCTACATCAGGCACAATTGGGAAGGGTGGGCACCTGCCTGTGATCAGCCCGACACAGCCACTTCACCACGGGGCTTCATGAGGGAGGAAGCGGCATGCGGAAACGAAGGCGCTCGTTTCTGAGCGCAGTTGAAAGGCCGTCGCGAAAGTCGCGCAATCGCGCGGCACGCGGGAGTCGTGCCGTTCGGGCAGCAGCGCGGGCCACCGCCACTTATGGCGAGTGAGCCGACCAGCAGCTGGAGGCTCGCAGCACCTGACGCGCACCCGTGCGCTCACTCCTCGCACAACCTTTCCACGCACCCATCACCCGATGGGCACGACGGGTGCACTGGAGGGAGTACGGGGCCACGCCCATGGCGCAACGGGCGTCCAGCTGCCGCGAGTGTTAGGACGGCGGAGCCTCCCAGCCTCCGTTGCCATCGGCGTGCGGGCCCCTCCTCCCTCAGCAGGAGTACTGGAGGGAGTACGGGGCCAAGTCCCAGCGAGAGCTACCTCCTCTCCCCTCGCCCCCCCCCTCCTCCCGCAGCCCTCCCCCCTCTTCCCTCATACCCTACCCTCCACCGCCCCTTATCCTCCTCCTCCTCCTGCCCTCTGGCGTGCTCAGCGGCGGCTGGGGGCACGCAGCAGCGGCGCCCGCGAATCACCACGTGGCGGCGCTACTGCGTTGAATTCTCCATCTAATGGAGCGCGAGAAAACGAGCACCTGGCGCACCGCCACGGCAAGCGAGGGCGAGCCAAGCACGGAAGCACGGCTACAGCACCAAGCGAGTGGACGAGCGAGGAGCGCAGAGTTACCCGCCCCACGAGCCCAGAGGAGCGGGCGGACGAAGAGAGAACTAAACAGCGCTCACCCACCCCACCACCCCGCTCACATGGTGGAAACAGGAGACGCGCGCGGAGGGGGGGGGGGGGCGGGAGACGAGCCCGGGCACCCCCCCCTGCCCACTGCCCCCATCCCCTCCTCCCCCATCTCTGCCTCCTCCTCCTCCTCCTCCTCCTCATCCTCCCCATCGCGCTGCTATGCCACCCACTCCTCACTGCTATGATCCGTCAGATCCCCTCGCCCAGGGGCTGGCGGGCTGAGCGCTCACTGGAGTTCCTGGAACTCCTCGAGCGCAGGCACGGCACCGAGCAGGTCGGCGCGTCGCAGTTGCCGCCTGCCCAGGGCGGGGAGGAGGAGGCGAGACGCTGGGCGGCTTGGAAATAGGACATGGCATGGGGGAAGCGAGAAGAGGGCAGCATAATAGAGGGCGGGTGGAGGGAGGGGCGTCCAAGAAGCGAGGGCGAAGATGGCTGGGTCGTCGCCACCGTCGTTAACTGCGCCCGGGCCCACCTACGAAGCGACGAAGCCCATGACAGCGTTCACCACCGTCGAGGGGCAGCGGCGAAGCACCACGGACACGCCCAGGGTCTTGAGCACGTACATCTTCCCGATGTGCTTGCACACGTGCTCCGCGTGGGCCCCGAGCACCGCGTCGCAGAAAGCGGGCGTGTACGCAGCGCTCTCCGCGAGGGCCTCCGAGGGAGCCCCCGTCAACCCACTATGGCCCACCCGTCGCTCTTGTGTCCACCAGGTTTCCCTTCCCTCACGCGGCGCCATGCCTCCTCCACCTCCTCCGCCCCCTCCCCCCAACTTGCCCCATTTCCCCCTCCTTGTGCCCGTCAGCACTCGCCCATCACACCACATCCCTCCCCCATCCACCCCCTCCTCAGTTCCATCCTCCGCCCCTACTGCCTCTACTGAACATCTCCCCCGAGTTCCCACGGCGCCTTCTTGTCGCCACCGACCGCGCCGCCCATGCTGTCCTTGTAGAGGCGCGCCGCAGAGCCAGAGCTGGCCTTGCACCTCATCCTCGCGATGCCAATGTTCTGGCGGGCCAGCGCCATCTTGCGGATGGCGGGGAGGAACGGGCACTTGCCGATCAGCCTGGTCGGCTTCATCGTGCCCTTGCCGAAGGACACCATGTTGAAGGTGCACTCGTGCCACTTGGTCTCCACGTCGTCCAGCAAGAACCTGGGCTTGACCCACGGGAGCTTGTAGAAGTAGCTGTTCGCAGGCTGCTCGACGATCACGAACGCGTTCTTCTTCATGGCCTGGGGGAGGCGCACCCGCTGACCCCTTACGAGATTCCAGATCGACCCTAATGTTAAGCTGTTCCTGGGCAATCTCCCTCACGACGCCTCCCAACCTCAACGCCTTGGGCGGCGGGTGGCGAGGAGGGCCACGATGGGGGGGGGCTTGAGGGGAGCGAAGCAGGGGGCGCACGAGCGCACGAGAAGTAGGGATACCAGGAGGCACTGTGGCAGCATATTCTAGCATCTGCCCGGGGAGCCGTGATGATGTCGCAGATGTCGAGCATCAGCTGGCTCATCGTGTTGCCCACTCCCGTCATCCAGTGGCTGGGGTCGCCCTGGGGTTGCGCGTTGCTCCTGCGCGAGCGCCGCGCGTCGTCGTCGTCGTCGTCGCCGTCGTCGTCGTCGTCCGTCGTCCGTCGTCCGTCGTCCGTCGTCGCCCGTCGTCCGTCGTCGTCGTCGTCGTGGTCGTCGTCATCTTCCGTCGTCGTCCGTCGTCCTCCGTCGTCGTCCGTCGTCGTCGTCGTCCGTCGTCCGTCGTCGTCCGTCGTCGTCCGTCGTCGTCTGTCGTCCGTCGTCATCGTCGTCGTCGTCCGTCGTCGTCCGTCGTCGTCAGTCGTCGTCCGTCGTCGTCCGTCGTCGTCCGTCGCCGTCGTCGTCGTCGTCGTCCGTCGCCGTCATCGTCATCGTTTTCGTCGTCGCGTTCGTCGTCGTCCGTCGTCGTCCGTCGTCATCGTCCGTCGTCGTCGTCGCCCGTCGCGTTTATTCCTTTATGATTGGGGGGGGGGGAAAGGTGCACGGGCTAGCTCAGGTCCTCCTGGTGTGCACGCTCGTCATGAAGATGAAGTACTTGCACGGGCAGCCCGCCATGACGATGCCGTACGCGTGGAGCCGCAAGAGCGCGACGCAGAGCCTGAGGCGCCCGGGCAGGAGGGCAAGAGAACTGGAGGATTGGAGGGTTGGGGAGGAGGACGAGGATATGGAACTGCTCTTGAACTGATGCGTGCATGACGTGCTGGGGGGCAGACGGGGAACTCAAGTGGGACATGGGGGGTGAGAAGTAAAGCTGCGGACCGACGTGAACGAGGCGGCCGTCAAGGGGCTCATCTGGGGCGGGGCCCATGAGCACGTTCCCCCCACCCGCGGGGAAAGAGAGGATGGTGGCCTGAACTTGCCGAACTCCGTGAGGATGTCGTCTGAGCCGCTCCCGACGTCTTCCCACGAGGCGGGGTACGAAGTCTTGTCGAGCTCGTAGGTCCGAACGCCCATGCCCCGCGCCATGGCCTCGCGGGTGAAGTTGGCCTTGCCCGCGAACAAATCGATGGCGCCCAACACCGCCACATTGTACGCGTTCACGAACTCCACGGCATCCTGGGCAAGGGGCTCGCACTAGATAGGGGGTCGCACGGATGGTGGGGGGCGGGGGGAGGCCGGGCGCACCGGGCGCACTGCAACTTGGGAAGGGCGCCGACGTATGCGCGAGAGAGGGGGGCGGGGGTGGGATGGGCCAAGAAAGGAAGGAGAGGGGGCAGGTGGTGCGGGGGCGGAAGGTCAAAGGGGGCAGGGGGGAGGAAGGCTGGGAAACCACAAGTCCGCTCGATGCGGGTCGGAGCTGGAGGCCGCGCGACCACGGCCGACTCCATGACACCACGACACCTCCCCACCCTCACCGACGCCTAAATGGTTTGAGGCCCCCGTGCCTTGAGAGGGGTCGTCCACTCCGATGGCACCTTGCCCCAATCGATGTCGTTCTCCGACTTCGTGACGGCGCTCTTGGCCAGGCCGAGGGTCTCGCACACCCTGGTCATCGTCGCCCACTGGGGGGGCGCTGGGCCGTGCACCGTCGGCAGCGGGAGCGTCATCCAGCTCTCGTAGCTCCTCGTGGCACAGTGTTTGAGTCGCTCGGCTAAGCTCGGAGGGGCCCTCGTCATCCATATATCCATATCTCGTAGCACCTCTCGCTCGGCAGATCGGCAAATCGGAGAGCTCGCTAAGGGCAGATGCTGGGGCCTCGATGGGGGCCTCATCTGACTGCGAGGACCGTCGTCGACGAATCGGGGCAGGAGGCATCGTCGTGCTCGCCGCAATCGTCGCATTCGTCCTAATCGTCGCAATCGTCGATTTATCGCGCGGTTGCTCGCCCTCGTGCGCCCGCGCTACCACCGAGCCCCCATCCGCTCGACCCGTGCTAACCGACGGGCCGACGGCCTCTCGAAGATCCCCATCCCGCCCTCCCACGGCCCCAGGGCCGACCCACACCCCTTCCCCCCTTCCCCTTCCGACAGATGAGTTGGGGGGTTTGGGTAATTCCTATAGGCACCCGCTCCACCCAGGGTGCGCTTCGAACATGAAGCGGTTGAGAATCTGCTTCGTGGCCTTGTCGCAGTACTCGTCGTAGTGGAGCACGCGGGGGCCCTCGTCGGCCGCGTCGCTGGTGGCCCCCGCGATGGCTTCGGCCACCGTCTTCCAGCCCGAGTCGTCGTCGTCGTCGGCGGCGGCGATGTTCTTCATGGCCTTCATGGCCCGCTTCTTGGGGCGCCCCTCCATCGCGTCTGACGAGCCCGAGCCCGAGGCCGACGAACTCGGAGGCGCCGATGGCCCCGACCCCGACGAGCCCGAACGTGACGAACTCGGAGGTGCCGATGCGGCGGGCGCGAAGAACGGCTCGGGCGGCGGCTCGCGCTCCACCGCGACCCCGCCGACGACGAACTCGTCCATGGTCGCCTGCCGCTTGGCAAGCGGCTGCAATGGCTGCAGCGGGCGGGGGACCCGACTGGAGCGGTTCCAATCGAGGCACGGGTCCGAGCCGGGCACGCCAGCGTACCACCCGAAGTACGGCAGCAACCGCTTGTACACAGGGTACAAGTCGCACATCCTCGTGGCGGCCTTGCTTGTGAACGGAACGCGCCTCTCCGCCATGAAGAGCGGGCCGTGCAAATTGAGCACCAGCACCTGACGGGCTGCCCGGGCTGCCCGGGCTGCCCGGGCTGCCCTGGGGCCCCGCCGCCGATCCCCCCAGCTCTCCCAGGCGCTCGCCCACTCCCCTCGCTCCCCTCGGACCTCGACCAGATTATGATCTCCACTATCGCCGTATCCCTCTACCTCCTGTCCTCCTTATCCATGTGTTCGCGCATCCCCCTGTCCCCAGACCCTCATCATGTCATCTGTTAGCTTATCATTCCTATTCGGACCTGTTATCCTATCCTATTATCCTCCTCGCATCCGCAACTCCTCATAGATTCTTCCACCCACCCACCCCAGTCCCGAGGCACCTCGCACGTCCACGCGACGTCGTCCAAGAACGGAGTCGGCGAGCGCAGCATCTGGATGTCAGGCTCCTCCAGCGCGGGGGGGGGCGCGGGCGACGGGAGTGGGGAGGATGGGGAAGTGTCGGGGGAGGTGCAAGAGGACAGGCAAGGGCTCGGAGCAGCGAGGTGGCGGGGGGGGAGCGGTGACATGGAAGGACCCCACGCCTCCGCACTCACTATCGTCACTCCGAGCGTGGCCAGAGGAAGGAGGGGGGAGTCGAGGGGGTGGATGGCGGGCAGGGATAGGACGAGGAAAAGGAAGAGGACGCCGACGACGACACGACGACACCGAGCCCCACTCAGCATGCCCGCGCGCCTGCCCTATCAGCTTCGCCATCGTGGCGGTCGACTTATTGCTGAGAGCCAGCTCGAAGCACTTGGCGAGCTCGTCGCCCTGGATCCAATCGGGCTTGCACATGAGGTCGTTGTCGCTCATGACCTGCCGCGCCTGCTCCGAGGCCTTGCAGTGCGTGCAGGGCACCTCCTCGGCACGCGCGACAACGCATCGAACGGGGGTGGGCGACGAGGCGACGAGGGGGGGAGGAGGAGGAGAAGGGGGAGGAGGAGGAGGAGGAGGAGGAGGAGGAGGAGGCGAGGAGGAGAGGAGGGCAGGGCGCGGGAGGAGGTGAGGGCGAAGCGAGCGGAGGGGAGGATGGGGGCCCTACGAGGACGACGGGGGCACAGCGGGGATGGAAAGGAAAAACAGGAAGGACAAAACGAGGAGGACGAGGAGGGGTAGGGCATGAGCGGCACGAGCTCGGTGGATAGACGAGCGGACGGACGCGATGAGGGGATGAGGGGCGAGGGGCCCCTTCAAGTCCCATGGCAAGTTATGGCCCTGATTCCATCGCATCAAGGTCCAGTAGGTGTTCTCGCTCATGAGGGTGATGTCCTCCAGGGCATTGTGGGCGAGCCAGAAGCCCCGCCACTGCTGCCATTCACCCACGTGGCCCCGTAGGGCCGTAGGCTTCCAAGGGGACATGGGTTCCAGGGTTCCAGGCGCTGTTCTCCTACTCCTCTTCCCCCCTTACCCCCTGCCGCCCAGCCCAAATGACATCCTACTCCCCACTCTCCCCCGCCCGCATCTCCTCCCCCCGTGCCCCTACGCCTCCCACCGCCTTACTCCACTACTCTCGGCCCTCCTTGCCTCCTTGCCTCCTCGCTTTGGGCGCCGCCCGTCGCTCCATCATCATGCCGACGATCTCGCCCGCGATCGTCCCTTCGTGCCCTCTGCGCACCGCCGCCTGGGAGGGGGGGCGGCTTGGAGTAAGAGAATATCGACTGCAGCAGGGGGGCGTCGGGCGGCGAGAGCGCGAGCGGGGCGAACATGAGACAGGGGAGCGGCAATGATAGCGAGGAGGAGGCGGGGGAGGACGGAGGGCGGGACCGACCGAGCGCGAGGGCGAATGGGGAAGGCAAGGAGAGCCCGAATCGGGTCGCGTGGCGAGTCGACGACGAGATCGAGGGCGAGGTCGAAGGTGAGATTGGCAAGGAGATCGAGAGAGAGGACAGTGAGGACAGAGGTGAGATTGATAGATTCAGAGTCCACCCCAACCTCCAGAAGCGGGTCGTCGATGCTCGGCGACCTGGCCGCGCTGGCGGCCTGCAAGAACATGGCGGCGAAGCTCCTGAGAGCGGGGGCGGGGGCGGGCCCGGGCGCCCCGGGAAGGAGGGGGGGCGGTCATCCGAAGCGGTGCCAGGGGTCGTGTGTATTCTCCCTCCTCTATTCCTCATATCCTCATGCCTTCCCTTACCCCTCCCCCTCATCCTCTCGCCTCGGCCCAACCCTCCACCCCATCCTCCCCGCCCCCACCTTCCCTCCCCCCATCCTCTTCCCCCTCTCACCTCCTGCGCCCAAGCCCCCCTTGTTTGGCCACCGCCCGTCCTCTTCGCCATCTCAGGCTCTCGGGCTCTCGGGCGGCCCGAGCTGGGCCGCGGGGCCGCGGCGAGCCCACTCGCAAGAAAGAGCCAAAGGCTAAGGGCCGAGGGGCGGAAGAGCGGGAGAGGGGAGCCAGGAGGGCATGGACTACCTGGCGAGGGCAAGGGAGCTGGGAGGGGAAGAAGATACGCTTCCAGTGGCAGGGAGTGCGCGGAGAGGAATGGAGAATGGAGGAGCAGGGGGGACTGGAATGGAA